CATCTTCTAGTCTATCTAAGGCCTGTTTGGGATTCTCAGGTACAAATTTGGGTCCATAATTTAAAATCCTTCTCTCTTCCTCTCCTAGACTTAAAACCTTATTATTAACTTGGGGTGGGAATCCTAGCGGGGTATAATGTGGGTGTAAATTCTTAGCCTTACTATTCCTTTCTATTGCTCTTGCTACTTTTCTATCGTTCTTTTGGCCCTTCTCTCTAAAAAAATCTAACTTCTTTTGAACCTTACTACTATTCCTAGTCTCTACTATCTGTACTAAATCCTTATATGCTTTTCTAACATCTAATGGGATTTTCTCAACTAAATTTATATGCTCTTTCTCACCCTTATCTATCTCTGTTACCTTAGCTATTCTCATGATTAATGTTAAGTCTAACTTAATTTTCCTTAAGATATTATTCCACTGCTCACTATACTGGTCTATTGCTTCCTTACTTAATTCCTTACTTCTAAACTGTAACTTATCCATTATATTCAGTGCTGGTGGCGGCATATTCTCATTAAATCTTCTATCTAACTTATCTAACTGGTATCTTAATTGTAGGGTTCGCTCGAATTTCATCTGGGCCTTATCTATCGATTCTAAAACATCCGTATCCTTACTATTCCTTATTATTCTAAAAGGTTTCTCTCTCATCTGATCTAAAATAAGGTTATCTAAACGTTTTTGATTTGAAATTTTTAAACTATCTATAAGGGGATCTATTGTGCTTCTTACATACTGGACTACTGTTCTGTGTAAGTCTTCCTTAAACTGTTTCATTAGCTGTTCTAGTTCTATTTCTTGTTGTTTAGCTTTCTCTTCTAAAAACTCTCTATGTGCTATTATATTATCTATACTTGCTACCATATGAAATATCTTAAAATGAAACTTACACTCAATCGGGATAATCGGAAAATCAAATACATCTATTCTAAAATCTTCTAAAGTTTTTGAAACAACGGATGGTGTGACTGTTTCTTGTTCCATTGGGATTATTTCTTCAGTTCTTGCGGGTTCTTTTCTAATCTCTACTTGCTCTATTGTCTCTACTTGTGGGCTTGACTCTAAAGNGTAGAACTGTATGATTACCCGAAGGAACCAAAGACTAGAACTATATACTACTCTGATATGTCAAGGACATAGTGGTAGTTACACAGTTTAAGAACAGTGGTGTGATTTTAAATGTAATTTTGAATTAACAATGTGGTATGACAAAAAATGAGAAGACCGAATAATAAATAAATAAATGTATAAATAGAGAAAAAAAATATATATATGATTAAATAAATAAATAAGAAATAAATAAATTCTTTTTTTGTTTAGTTTTATATTCTATTTAGTTTTTTTGTTTTGAATTTTATCAAATTTTTCTGTTTTTAGTTTGTTTTAGTATTCTATTGAAATTTGAAGAAAAAAGAACTAGTTTTAAATAATTTTAAGAGGAAAAATTGAATTTAAATAAACTTGAGAAAAATCTGAGAGAAGTAAATAAATATATGAACTTTTTGTCGAAAAGTTTTGAATTTAGGTGAATTTAAGAAAAATTATTAAATTTAAGATGATCTATTTGAAAAAATGAAAAGATTTTATTGAATTTAAAGTAAATGACTTAGTATAATATGATTTTGGAAAAATTAATAAGTTTTTATTGAATTTGTGAGAAATTGAATAAATAAATGAATAAGTAAGAACTTTTGTTTTTTGTTTTTTTTATATATATGNCAGAAGAATTATTAAGAAATTTAGTCAAGAGAAAATGTGCACCCTTTTGTTTAAGAAAGATTTATATGAAAATGAAAGTGCTAAATTTGAATTTAGAGCTTTTTAAAAAAATACGTGAGTAAATATGTGAATAAATAAGTGAAATAGTAAATAAATGTTTTTTTTTTTTTGAAAATGAAAAAGAAATAAATAAATTCTATTTTATGAATAAAGGAAAAAGAAAAATTGAATTTTGCCTATGTTTAGGTTAGAAAGAATCTTTTTGAGAGTTTACGAGAGCAAACTTCGTTTTGAATAAATTTTAATGTAATTTTATTTAATTTTAACAATAAATAACGATTAAATAATAAATAATAAGTAAATTTGTAATAAGCAGCAGCGATGCGTTTCGAGTATTCTTCAGGCTATGCATGACTATCTATTCTTTTCTTCCATTCCTCTACACTCATCCAATGAGAAAATTCTCTATTCTATTGGGGGTACTATTTTCATAGGTGAGGTAAAGATGTCGTTCTATTCTATCTATTTCTTTTTTTTCTTAGTATATTCTAACTCATAACTCTATCTCGATAGTGTGAGTGCCGAAGAAGGGAGTAACTCAATGGAAAAAACTCAAAACTCCATCTCAATGGTATGGGGAGGGACCTTCTCACTTGGTCACTCAACCCTATCACAATAAAAAGAACACGCATATACAAAAAATTAGAAATACAAAATGAAAAAACAAAAATAAAATATTGTGATATTGAGGTGATTTATCACTGAACGAAAAACAACAAAACAGAAAAAACAAAACGAAGAACTAAAAACAAAATCGACCAGGTTCTTCGCTGCTGTCGTCGATGTTACTGACGAAATACAAATAGAAAACGAAAAAGAGGGGGGGGGGGGACCGGGGATACTCATCTACCTTAACATCTCTCTATTCTAACTCACTTACTAGGGCTTTTATCGATTCCTTTGGGGGTTTCTTATGAACTAATATACTCTTTAAATTGCCCGTCAATCTATGGGCAAAAACTACTGGGATAGCACTAAGTGGAGTTTCCTCAAAAATTTCCTTTCAAATTTGATGAAATCTAGATCCAAAGTGGGCCAAATTAGGAGTATACGTAAGGTGGAGCATAATATCTCTATTGAAATTAATCCCGGGCTTTTCTTTTTTATTCCATCCTTCTTCTAAGACCTTATCTCTGTACTCACTATGTCTCTCGCTTAGAAGTAATTTCTTATCCTTTTCTCCCGCTGATGTTTCAAAAAATCTCTTAAAATGTTTATCTATAAAATTTGGGGGGTACTTATTCAAAAGAAGGGTTATTCTAACTTTTTCTATCTCCCTTTCTCAATCCTCTCTATGGGAACATATTCTAACCGCTCTTAAAATTGCTCAGAAGGGAATATTTTTCATGACACGAGGAGGGTGGGCTGAATTAAATGGTAAAATATATGGTTGGGAAGCTAGTTTTCTATAGACTCTGGTTCTAAAGTTGGGAACTTCTACTTGTACTCTTACATCTAAGTAATCCACATGTGGGCCTGTCTCAAAGGTTAATCCTATATTCTTATCTTTCTTACCTAATTCTACTAATATCTTATCCATCTCTTCCTTACTCTTCTTAGTGGTGATAAAAACGTCGTCTCTAAATCTAAAGTATAACTCTCCCTCACTATTCTGCTGTCCCTAAATTGTTTTTCCCACTTTCTCATATACACATCGGTTAAGACTTAGGTACACTCTGATCCCATGGGTCCTCCTCTTATCTGTTTATAGTACTAAACTTTCTGTCCGGGTAACTGAAGGGCAAAATATGCATTTTCTAAGACATGTCTAAAGAGGGTCCTAACTGTATTGATGGGTATCTCTCCATTAACCTTATTTATCTTATTCTCACCTAACATCTCACAAATGGCTAAGATTGATTCTTGTTGGGGTATCATGGTATACAAATCTGTAATGTCAAAAGTATATAAAAGAGTCTGGTCTGTTGTTCCTTGTTTTTTTAATTCTTTTAAAAGTTCTATACTATTTCTCAACCTATATGGGGTTAATCTATCAAAAATGGGTCGAATAATTTGACAAAGAAAAGCCGAGATTTTTTGTGTTGGTGATTTCATTCCCGAAACAATTGGTCTAAATGGCTCTCCTACCTTATGATCTTTTGAATTATAATAAAGGTGGGGTAACTCGGCATCTATTGGGTTTGGTTTTAATTTCTCAAAACATTTCACGGGTAACAGTTTTCTATTGACTAAATTTCTTAATAATTCTTCTGTCTTTTCTATCATACTATTTAATGGGGATTCTTCTATCTCTTGGTAAGCATCTGTCTTCTTCATGTAAGCTATAGATTTTTCTATATATGTCTCGGGCCTATCTACGTGGAATACTTTGGATTTATCTGTTTGTCTGAAAATTACCTTACCCTTTTTTTGTTCCTTTTGAAAATGTTCTAAGGCCTTTTCTAATTACTGGGTCTTGTCTTTTTCCTTGGTTTATTTTTTCTCTTAATTCTTTTTCTAGTCTATCTGCAAATTTCTCAACTAATATTGAGTTTCTACCTACTGTTCGAGTTTCTCTTCTCCAAGCCTCGGCTACTTTCTCTTTTACTATTCTAATCTCATCCTCTAATCTATCTAAGGCCTGTTTTGGATTCTCAGATACAAATTTGGGTCCGTAATTTAATATCCTTCTTTCTTCTTCTCCTAAACTGAATACCTTATTGTTTACTTGTGGGGGAAATCCTAGTGGGGTATAGTGGGAATGTAAATTCTTAGCTCTACTATTTCTCTCTATTGCTGTAGCTATTTTTCTATTATTCTTGAGGCTTTTCTCTGTAAAAATCCAACTTGTTTTGCACTTTTCTATTATTCCTTATTTATATAGTGTGTACTAAATCCTTATATGCTGATCTTATTTCTAATGGTATTTTCTCAACTAATTCTAAATATTCTTTTTCACCCTTATCTATCTATGTAACTTTAGCCATTCTCATTATGGATGTTAAATCTAACTTAGTCTTTCTCAAGATATTATTCCATTGCTCTCTATACTGATCTATCATTTCCTTATTTAGTTCTTTACTACGAAATTGCAATTTATCTAATACATTTAATGATGGTGGGGGCATATTCTCATTTAATCTTCTATCTAACTTATCTAACTGATACCTCAACTGTAATGTACGTTCGAATCTCATCTGGGCTCTATCTGTAAATTCTAAATTATTTTTATCTTTACTACTTCTTATTGTTCTTAAAGCTCTTTCTTTCATCTGGTCTAAGATAAGGTTATCTAAACGTTTCTGATTTGAAATTTTTAAACTATCTATCAGTGGGTCGACTATCTCTTTAATAAATTTTACTACTATCTTATGGGAATCTTCATTAAATTCTTTCATTAGATGCTCTAATTGAATTTCCTGTTGTTTAGCCTTTTTTTCTAAAAATTCCTTATGTGCTGTTATATTTTCTATATCTGCTCTGATATGGAAGGTTTTAAAATGGAATTTACACTCAATTGGGATAATTGCAAAATCAAATAATTCTATTTTAAAATCTTCCATATCTTTTGAGGTGACTAATGGTGAATTTCTAACTATTTCTTGTTCCATTGGTATTACTTGTTCACTAACTTGAATATTCTCAACTACTTGGGGTTCATTTCTATTCTCAACTTGAGGTGGTGGTTCAACTTGTGGACTTGAATCTAATGGTCTTGGAGGTGCTATTGGTGTTCTTGGTGTACTCTGTCGTGGACTTAAAACTGATGGTGTGGGTAATCCTGGTGATGTTGTTGGTAAACTAGGTGACACTTCTTCTTCCTGTTGGATGACTATCTCTTGTTGTTGTTGTCTTTGTGATCGGGGTGCTGTTCTCAGTGGTTTAAAGTCATGCGAGAATAGTCGGGGTCTTTTTGCTTCTGGATCAACTGGTGTATCTGGTCTTGCCTTCTTCTGAACTATTTGTACTGTCTGTTCCCTATTACTATTCTCATTAACTAATAATACTGGACTACCTTCTGGGGCTCTTGGGTCGTTCTCAATGGGAATTTTCTTCTTCTTCTTACATTTGGATTTCTTTTTCCTTAAACTAACTTTATCTATTTTTTCTTTTGAGGCGGGTGAAATGCTAGTATCTCTCAATTTTCTTTTCTTTCTATCGTCTTCATCTGTCTCACTATTCTCATTATTATCACTACTCTCTTCTTTATACTCACTATTACTATTCTCATTACTTTGACTATCTGTATCAGTCACTGTCATATTCAAGATGGCTGAGTATCTCTCTCGGAATGGTCTTGCGTGAGGTATCTCTTCTACTTCTACCATTAAAATATCATCTCCATCTTTAGTTGGGGTCCTTTCCTTACCACTAGCTACCTGCTCATATATTTTTCATTTCTTACTCTTTTTTTCAAAGTATCTCTGTTGGTAATACGTGTTAGCTATTAAAAATAATCTATCTTTTTCGTTGTCTATTTCTTTATGAGGTTGATTATCTCTAAAATACTGTTCTTTTGTCCTTAACTTGTGCGGGTAAAACTTAATTAAAGATCTCGATGGAAAGTTGGGGTGCTGTCTATTCCTATTTTTGTTTCCTTGTCCTACTATTCTATCTGATGTGACTAAGAAAGGCTGGGTACTATTAATATTATTTGAAGAAGTTGTTACTAACCTTATTCTATTTTGTTGTTGTTGTTGTTGATAATAATTATTTCGACGAGGTTGATACTGTCGTTGGATGTACATATTATTATTATTATTCATTTGTAATGCAGTTGTCGTCGTTGGCGTAGTTGGTGCTGTTGGTGTTAGTGGCAATCGACAACGCTGAAAATAGATAGAAGAGTGTGCGACAGCACGGGAAGAGAACCATTCACGGATAGCTCCTTCATTTTTCCATTTTCCAGTGGTATTAGATGAATGTAGCTCATCTTCTACACGCATATCCACAAGTCCCAGGCGCGCATCAACAACGTCAAAATCCAACTGATGGGATAAGACCTGAAGATGCTCATTAAATTGGCGGTAATAATCACTGATGTTGGCCGCAGAGACGAATCTCGTTGGTTTCCATCGAGGTGATAACGCCATCCAACCAATGGCCCGGATACCAGGGAATGACCGACGAATGAAACGTATGAACTCGCTAACTCGCTGCAGAGAAACATCGACACCGTACCGTCTCACGTCGTTAGTACCCAAACAAACTACTAAAAAGTCTTTATTTCCTACCGTACCGCGACCTTCAGGTGTGTTTAACCATTGTATCATTGTAAAAATATCATAACCTGACTCATAACTTAATTCAACATCATATAATGGTAATTTTTTAATGGCATATGTACGTAATCTGGAACACATGGAATCGGATAATACAGGGTGGCGCAAAAGTCGGTTTACCGAAAAAAATTGAATATCTCCATTACGGTTCGGGCAAACGAGCTGATTTCTTTACCAATAATAAAGGCATGTACAAGCTTTATATTCATAAAGACAAGCCTAGAGAAACCCTTTGAAGTGTATTGTTTTTTCACCTATCTGTCAAAAAGTAAAACTTTTTTTGTTGAGATCAATAGTGATAATTAACAAAGAGTCTCTATAGGCATGTCTTTATGGATATGAAGCTTGACCATGCCTCTATCATTGATAAAAAAATCAGCTCATTTGCTTGAGCCGTAATGGAGATATTCAATTTTTTTTGGGTAAAGTGACTTTTGCGCCACCCTGTATAATGCCTTTTAATGTATGTTTAATTTCATTGTAATTATTAATGTTGTTGTTATTGTTAATATTAAATGATGGTGACGAGGTACGTTGATGTTGTTGTTGGTATTGCGGACGATGATGTTTTTGTTGGCAATGGAGACATTATATTGTTGTTGATGGATACGACGGGGTTTAATTGGTGGTGGAGTTGGACGCTGATAAGAACGGGAACGGGACCGTGATTTTGATGGTAACTGGGATAAAAGATGGAATCGAGAACGGGATAATGAACGTGGATAATGTTGTTGTTGATGATTGGGGTGAAATTGTTGAGCATTATTAAATGAACGGGTATGTTGAGGTGATGGTAAATGGAACGGGTATATTCAGGTGATGGTAAATGGAAGGGGGTTTAGTTCAAGTAATGATGGTAAATTTTGGGTATTTGTGTACTTAATATTATTATTATAATAGCGACGATGTTGGTAATAACGATTATTATTTAAACGATTATAATGATGATTATGGTGGTATGTTGTACGTGGTGGTGGAGGTGGTAAATTATGGCGTGGCAATGGTGTTGGTGGTAAAGGACGAGGGCGGATAAGACCATTTTTTTGCCCCCAACGAAATCGTATAATTTTTATTGGAATAAACTTAGGTATGGACCCTGATTATATTTTAGCTGGAAAGGTCAACTTGAAAATGGAAGCTTTTCCAGCTAAGAAAATATTTTAGGACCTTATAATAACGATATTCTTAATCACCATACTTGACTCTATAAACCAGGACATATTTCGTTTGGATCTCAAAAAAAAATTTTTTTNTCTTGGATTTGGATTTTTTCTTTCTTATACTTATCTTATCTGCCTTTTCCTTGGATGTGGGCGAAATACTAGTATCTCTTAACTTTCTTTTCTTTCTATCTTCTTCATCTGTCTCACTATTCTCATTATTATCACTACTCTCTTAATCTTTATCCTCGCTATTACTATTCTCATTACTTTGACTATCTGTATCTGTTACTGTCATATTGAGGATGGCTGAGTATCTTTCTCGGAAGGGTCTAGCTTGGGGTATCTCTTCTACTTCTACCATTAAAATATCATCTCCATCTTTAGTTGGGGCCTGTTCCTTACGACTATCTACCTGCTCATATATTTTCCATTTCTTACTCTCTTCTTCAAAGTGTCTCTGTTGGTAATACGTGTTAGCTATTAAAAATAATCTATCTTTTTCGTTTTCTATTTCTTTATGGGGTTGATTATCTCTAAAATACTGTTCTTTTGTCCTTAACTTGTGTGGGTAAAACTTAATTAAAGATCTCGATGGAAAGTTGGGGTGCTGTCTATTCCTATTGTTGTTTCCTTGCACTACTATTCTATCTGATGTGACTAAGAAGGGCTGGGTACTATTAATATTACTTGAAGAAGTTGTTACTGACCTTATTCTATTTTGTTGTTGTTGTTGTTGTTGATAATAATTATTTCGACGAGGTTGATACTGTCGTTGGATGTACATATTATTATTATTCATTTGTAATGCAGTTGTCGTCGTTGGCGTAGTTGGTGCTGTTGGTGTTGGTGGCAATCGACGACGCTGAAAATAGACAGAAGAGTGTGCGACAGCACAGGAAGAGAACCATTAACGAATAGCTCCTTCATATTTCCATTTGCCAGTGGTATTAGATGGATGTAGCCCATCTTCTACACGCATATCCACAAGTCCTAGGCGCGCATCAACAATGTCAAAATCCAACTGATTGGAGAAGACCTGAAGATGCTCATTAAATTGGCGGTGATAATCACTGATGTTGGCCGCAGAGACGAATCTCGTTGGTTTCTATCGAGGTGATAACGCCATCCAACCAATGGCCCGGATACCAGGGAATGACCGGCGAATGAAACGTATGAACTCGCTAACTCGCTGCAGAGAAACATCGACACCGTACCGTCCCACATCGTTAGTACCCAAACAAACTACTAAAAAGTCTTTATTTTCTACCGTACCGCGATCTTCAGGTGTGTTTAACCATTGTATCATTGGAAAAATATCACAACCTGATTCATAACTTAATTCAACATCTTATAATGGTAATTTTTTAATGGCATATATACGTAATCTGGAACACATGGAATCGGATAATATAATGCCTTTTAATGTATGTTTAATTTCATTGTAATTATTAATGTTGTTGTTATTGTTAATATTAAATGATGGTGAAGGGGTACGTTGATGTTGTTGTTGTTGGTATTGCGGACGATGATGTTGTTGTTGGTAATGGGGACGATTATATTGTTGTTGATGGATACGACGGGGTTTAATTGGTGGTGGAGTTGGACGTTGATAAGAATGGGAACGGAACCGTGATTTTGATGGTAACAGGGATAAAAGATGGAATCGAGTACAGGATAATGAACGTGGATAATGTTGTTGTTGATGATTGGGGTGAAATTGTTGAGCATTATTAAATGAACGGGTATGTTGAGATGATGGTAAATGGAACGGGTTTAATTCAAGTAATGATGGTAAATTTTGGGTATTTGTATACTTAATATTATTATTATAATAGCGACGATATTGGTAATAACGATTATTATTTAAACGATTATAATGATTATAATGATGATTATGGTGGTATGTTGTACATGGTGGTGGTGGAGGTGGTAAATTATGGCGTGGTAATGGTGTTGGTGGTAAATTTGTAGTACGTGTACCTAAAAAATTAGTATATCCATTAAAAGTTGTTGTCGTACCTGTTTGAAATTTATGTAAGTAATTTTGTTTTCGAGTATTTGAACCGTATAACATTGGTTTATGTTGTATTTGTTGTTTAAGGTGATGGTATGATGGTTGTTGTTGTTGTGGTGGTAATTTCGATTGTAAATATAAGGGACGCATTGGTGGTAAATTAATAATAGGTAAATTACTTGTTGTTGTTGTTGCATATGTTATTGGTTTTGGTGTAATGGTAATTGATGACATTGTTAATTCTTTTCGTCAACTGAATAAGTAATTTTGGTGATGGTTGAACTTTGAAAATGTGGGTGTGATTTTTGAGTAATCAAGTCGAATTAACAATGTGGTAAAGTAATAAAGAAGACCGAATAAGTATTGTATTTTTCTCTCTAACAAATTTAATCAGATCTCGACAGAATGGAAGTAAAATATCCTTAGTCAGTTCTTCACTTTCATTAATTCTGGATTTAAACGTTTGATTTTTAATAGACAATACCAAAACATTCCGTTTCAACTCTTCCTTCGACTTTCTCATTTCTTCAAATTCAGACGATAGTTTCTCTATTTTATCATTCAATTTCAAAATTATCGTATTCATTTTATCTAATTTATTTATTATTTCTGCACTCTGTGTAGTGGATGTATTTGTAACTGTTGTTCTCTGAGCTGGAGGTAGTTGTGGAAAATTTGACTGATCATACGAGTAAGTAGGAGACGAAGAAAGAGGTGCAAGATTATTATTACNCCCGTTCACGTTCTTACCAACGTCCATTACCACCACCAATTAAGCCCCGTCGTATTCATCACAACCTGATTCATAACTTAATTCAATATCATATAATGGTAATTTTCTAATGGCATATGTACGTAATCTTGAACACATAGAATCAGATAATATAATGCCTTGTAAAGTACGTTTAATTCCATTGTAATTATTATTATTATTATTAATATTATTATTGGTATTGTTGTATGGTGGTATGGTAGGACGTTGTTGTTGTTGTTGGTATCGGTGGCGATTAAATTGTTGTTGTTGTTGTTGATGATGAATACGACGGGGCTTAATTGGTGGTGGTAATGGACGTTGGTAAGAACGTGAACGGGACCGTGATTTTGATGGTAATTGGGATAAAACATGAAAACGGGATCGTGATAATGAACGGGGATAATGTTGTTGATGATGATTAGGATGATAATGTTGGGCAGTGGTAAATGTACGTGTATTATGACGTGATGGTAAATGGAAGGGATTTAAATCAAGTAATGATGGTAAATTTTGGGTATTATTAAAATTATTATTATAATGATGACGATGATGGTAATAACGATTATTATAATTATTATGATAAGGATTATGATGATATATTGTACGTGGTGGTGGTGGAGGTGGTAAATTTCGACGTGGTGGTGGTGGTGGTGGTAAATTAGTTGTACGTGTACCTGAAAAGTTAGTATATCCATTAAATGTAGTAGTCGTACCTGTTTGAAATTTGTGTAGATAATTTTGCTTTCGATGATTGGATCCATATAACATAGGCTTAGGCTGAATTTGTTGTTTAAGATGATGGTAAGTTGGTGGTTGTTGTTGTTGAGGAGCGTATGGTTGTAAATATAATGGACGCATTGGTGGTAAATTAATATTTGGTAAATTATTTGCTGTTGTTGTTGCATATGTTGTTGGTTGTGGTATAATTGTAATTGATGACATTGTTAATTCTTTTCGTCAATTGAGATAATTTGGTGATGATTGAACTGGTAATGTGTGGGTGTGAGTATAATTTTTAAGCGAATTAACAATGATGTAAATAAATAGAGTAAAGATCAAATAAATAGATAAATAAATTAGTAAATAAATGAATATATATATGTATAAATAAATAAATAAATAAATAAATTCTGTTTTTTTATTATTATTTCTTAGTTTATTTTAGTTTTTTTGTATTTTTAGTTTTTGAAATTGTTTTTTAGTGTTTTTTTAAATATATTTGCAGAAATGAAAATGAAATATTCTATTTTTTGTATGAGTTGAAGAGAGAATGTGAAAATAAGGACCCTTTTAGAATTG